GTACTTATTTTTCCTGTATTAAATTTTCCTTACTTGTTCTTCAATTTATTTTCCTACTCAACTTTTCTTTCCCCTGGGTCATGTCTCATTTGCTGTGATCATAACAGGTATACAACACTATTGAGGCATAACGATGTGAAAGGCAAACTGGGATTTGCTTCTCTACATTTCAGAGATATGGATTTGGGCCAAATGCATGGAGCAACAGTTATGGTAGCCTGAGAGTACAATAATAAATCATTTCGGAAACAAACAACACCTGCCCAAATCCCAGTTGCCTTTATGATTCTGCTAGTATTTCTATAAACATAAGCATACAAATTCAATCAATGGTGGAAATATTATGACCAAAAATCTTGTTAATAAAACAGCAGTAGAATAAAAAAAAAGGATTAACATTAAACAAATCAGGAGGCTGAACAAGCTATATAGTGTATTATTGGAGTGTTTACACAAAAATAAGATATACTGTATGACATTAAGTGATTCTTAGTTCCAAAGAAGTATACACAGGAGTTGAAAAAAGTAATATTGTTGGAAGCAAATTGAAATGCTTTTGCCCTGAATCAGCAAGACTCTTTTTATGGATTGTGTTGCAATATTTAAGTTTCTGGAAATAAATAATTTTTAAAATATAATACAGAATATGTTACCTGATCTTTGTGGCTAATGTTTAACTTTAATATAAATTAGATAAATTGCAAAACTTAAAGAGATACATTAATCAATAACAATTAATTTCAAAGTCCACCTAGTCCTAGACTATGCCAAGAAGTATGTGAAATATTGCCACATTGCTAGGTGCATGCACTCAATGCTACACAATAATTTACTTAACTGTAATTTATGGAATAAACCACAACTGACTGCATAACATGAGTCCAAATGCAATGATAATGATAAACAAATCACATTATTGTGTGTTAACTATATTGTGTAAATTAAACCAAAATAAAGATCTATGAAATAAATATGTTTCCTGTGATTAAGAATATGCAAAACTGTGTTCCATTCCCAGAATGCTCCATTTCTCCCAACCCAGTATGGGCTAATCTGAACATTTCGAGCTAGTTGGCCACTTCCAGAAAAACAGTTCATGGTAATCTGGATGTGGTTGTCCCCATCTCCTCTTTCCACTCCAGAATGCTGAGGTAGGAAAGTTCTAACAGAAAAATGATGTGGTGAGGCATTATCAGTATTAAAATATTGTCCAGAAAGTTCATAAAGATTTGAACAGAAATAATAATGGCTATCCAGTTTGGTGTGTAGCAGTTAGAGGACTGGAGAAATCAAGATTAATTCAGCCACTAATTATGAAGTTAAGCTGTTGGTTTCAGCTCCGAGCTTGGCAATTTGGTTGCAAACATTTCATCACCATTGAAGGAGACATTGTCAGTGCTTTCAGACAACTCAAAACACACCGACGATGTCTCCTTGAATGGTGACAAAACATTTGCAACCAAATTGCCAAGCTTGGAGCTCAAACCAACAGCCTAACTACCAACCCGAGCTACTAATATTAACACACACTAATTATGAAGTTCTTTGGAGTCTGATTCATAGCCACAATAATAAGCAATCTACCCAGGCTACTGAGCAACACATGAATATCATCATCTTTCCTTCCCATCCCACACCTCACATTCTTTATAGTTGTCTAACAATCAGCCAATGCTGATTGAAATAATAGCTGTAAATTACAAGATCTGAAGACCCCAAAGGGTGACAGTTTTTCTACATTTGATGATTGGTAACTTTAACAAGCTTTATTCATTTAAAAATATTTATGGTTATTATTTAGCATTTTGTAAGAACTCAGTTGAGAATAGCAGAACTCTACCATGATGTGTACTTTAAGTCGCTCACAGTCATGAACCTAAGTCTGTGCATAATTGCCTGTTAAAATACCTAAGTAGATAATTTGTAAAATAAAAAATGACTGGACATTTTTATAAAATCAGTGATGATGTTAATACGTCATACTAACCAATGGCTAAGTTTACTTTACTTAATTTAATTGGCTGTGTTTATGGAACATGCCTAATTTTAAGTCCACAGGATGGGTTTGCGTAACATGCTAGGTTAAAATGTGATTACAGGTAGCTAATTTGCCTTTGCAAACAAAACCACACTTTTAAAATTAAGAACATACAACACAGAAACAAAGGGCTGGAAGGGGCCTCGGAGGTTTATTAGTCCAACCTTTGCTCAAGGGAGAAGACTGTAGTTCAAGGGAGGGACTTTGCTCAAGGGAGAAGACCCAGTGAAATGATTGTCCAGTCTAATTTTGAAAACCTCCAGTGATGGAGGACCCACAATTCCAGGCTACTACACTGATTTAATTGTTCAGTCAGAAAATTCCTCCTTACTTCTAGGTTGAATCTCTCTTTAACCAGGTTCCTCTGTCCTAGTCCTATTAGATCTCTCAGCGGCTTTTGATACCATCGACCATGGTATCATGCTGCAGTGGTTGAGGGGGTTAGGACTAGGGGGCACCGTTTTGCAGTGGTTCTCCTCCTTCCTCTCCGACCGCTCGCAGTTTGTGTTGGCAGGGGGGCAGAGGTCGACCTCGAGGCGTCTCGCATGGGGAGTGCCGCAAGGGTCGGTCCTCTCGCCCCTTCTGTTCAACATTTATGTGAAGCCACTGGGAGAGAACATCCGTGGTTTTGGGGTGAAGTGTCATCTGTACACTGATGATACTCAGCTGTACATCTCCACCCCAGACCACTCCAACGATGCCCTTGATGTGATGTCTCGCTGCCTGGAGGCCGTGCGGGTCTGGATGGGGAGGAACAGGCTCAGACTCAACCCTTCCAAGACCGAGTGGTTGTGGTTTCCGGCGTCCCGATATAGTCAGCAGGTGCCATTGCTGACTATTGGGGGTGAATCTTTGCCCCCCACAGAGAGGGCTCGCAATCTGGGTGTCCTCCTGAATGCACAGCTGTCTTTAGAAGAGCATATGACGGCCGTGGCCAGGGGGGCCTTCTATCAGGTTCGCCTGATTCGCCAGTTGCAGCCCTTTCTGGACCGGGACGCCCTGCACACAGTCACTCACGCCCTTGTTACCTCCCGGTTGGACTATTGTAATGCTCTCTACATGGGGCTCCCCTTGAAGAGCACTCGGAGGCTCCAACTGGTCCAGAATGCGGCCGCTTGGGTGGTTATGGGTGCAACTCGTTGCGCCCACATGACACCCCTCCTGCGTGAGCTGCACTGGCTCCCAGTGGTCTTCCGGGTGCGATTCAAGGTGTTGGTCACCACCTTTAAAGCGCTCTATGGCACAGGACCCAGGTACCTTCGAGACCGTCTTCTGCCACCAATAGCCTCCCACCGGCCAGTCCGCTCCCACAGAGAGGGTCTCCTCAGGGTGCCATCGGCCAAGTCATGTCGGTTGGCGACACCCAGGGGGAGGGCCTTCTCTGTGGGAGCCCCAGTCCTGTGGAATGAACTGCCCCCGGAAATGCGTAAGATCTCTGACCTCCGGGTATTTCGCTGCGCACTCAAGACCCTGTTGTTCCGCCAGGCTGGGTTAGCAACATAATTTTAAATTGGATGTTTTAAATTTTTGGGGTTTTAAATTAAGCCAAATTTATTTAATATTTTTAAATTATTTTAAATTGATGTTTATCATGTTTTTAAATAGGCTGTACACCGCCCTGAGTCCTTCGGGAGAAGGGCGGTATAGAAATAAAATTATTATTATTATTATTATTATTATTATTATTATTATTATTATTATTATTATTATTTAACCAACTTCCACCCATTACTTCTTGCCCAGTGCTCAGGTACTTTGGAGCATAATTCAGTCCCTTCTCTGTGACAGCCCCTCAAGTTTTGGGAGAGGGTTATCAACCCTTCTCTTCGATAGACTAGACATATCTAGCTCAACAGTTCATCATACGATTTTGCCTCTTCTCAAACAAGAAATTTAAACAGAGGCTTGAATAAAATAGCATTTAATTTTGATCAAGCTTAAATGTTCCAAATACATACAAGATACATGCTGTTCCAAATACAGACAAGATACATGCATGTAACAACTACAAACAAGAGAGGGAATGTGAACCCCTTTTATATTGTTTAAGAAAGCCATAAACCTCCAATTCTGGCATTTTTGATTTGTGTATTCCCTGGAATTTATTTATTTATTATTCATATTTCTATGCCGCCCCTCTCCAAGGACTCTGGGCGGCTTACAACAAAGACAGTATACTAAGTAGCATATTTAATACCAGAATTTGGTTTGTGTATGTCCCCCCCAACAGAGTAGAGCCTCTTAATGACCATCATTAGCGTTATCTCTTCCTGATCATCTTCTTTGTGTTCACACTTTGCTATTTAGCCCTCTGGAGTGGAGGGAACTCAACAGATCAAAGATGAGATACGTTCTTAGGCAGGAGGGGGAGAAATAAGGCTCTGATCAAAAGGTGGAACATATAGTTTGACAAATGTCAGATACTTCACAACAAACCCCAATAACAATCCAGGAAGTTAGTCAATGTGGCATATTTGTGTTATAACTACAAAGGGCATAATATATATGTCAGTGTCACAGGAAACAAATATTTACAGCATGCAGGTATACAAAGACATCATATATCTCGTGTGTGTGTGTGTGTGTGTGTGTGTGTGTGTGTGTGTGTGTGTGTGTTGCAGGAAACAATTAGCAAGTTTCTACTAATTCTAGTATTTCAGTAAATCTATTTCCTATCTATTTTTAAAGTCTCAGCATCTTTTTTGCATCGTAGAGACCAGAACTGCATTTAAACGTATTATACAACGAACGTGCCCATTTTATATATGCCAAAGCATATATATATATATGATCAAGCAAGTGGATTTTTTCTTCAATAAATTGCACAGCCAGGGTCTAATGAAATTGCTTTCTTGCTGCCAGTAACTTGCAAAATAAGGGAAATACTGTACCCTCCAAGCTCACGTGGCTTGGAAAAGTCAGAAAGACTTGAGGAATGCTCGGTTAAATTTTAAACCCGGAAACGGAAACATTAAAATCAGAGGGGAGGGTGTGTGTTTTTTTTCTTTTTAACTTTCTTTTGAATTCCAGCGAAGGATTAGACTACTAGAGAACTCGAAGTGGTGCGTGGTGAGTGAGCTGTTGTGACTTTCCCGAAGCTAATATCTCCTTTGTCTTCATTTACGTCAGTCCGGTTTGTGCAGAGTCAGGGGGGGGTGGGGTGAAACGTGTGGCTGAACTGGCGGGTATGTTAAGCTCCTTCGGTCGCTCTCTTTTTCTCGGGGTTAAAAGGATTGGCGGGGAACCTCCCATCCAGATAAAGGGAAAAGAATTAAATGCAGCGTGGCATAGTAAGAGAATATTAGAAAATTAATCACAATGTGTGACTTCATGTATTTCAAACTACAGGTTTAGTCGTATGCCTTAGTGCAGAGGTCCTCAAACTTGGCAGCTTTAAGACTTCTGGATTTCAACTTCCAGAATTCTCCAGCCAGCTATGCTGTTGAAGTCCAGAAGTCTTAAAGCTGCCAAGTTTGAGGACCTCTGCCTTAGTGGAAAATTTACTTTTTCCAAGTAAAGCGTGTAAGATAGCAACCGCACTTAGACTTGTATACCGCTTCACAGTGCTTTACAGCCCTCTCTAAGCGGTTTACAGAGTCAGCATATTGCGCCCATCAATTCTCATTTTACCGACCTTGGAAAGGATGGAGGGTTGAGTCCTATCGATATTTTCTTGGACACCATTTAAGTGATAGGATTTATTTCTGAGACTATTTCACATTTCTGGCTGGATCCGGAGCAGTTATGATAAGCTTATGTTCCCAGGAACATAAAAAAAAACCCCCTTGAATATATTTAATACTGATCACAATCAGGATTTATTGTTCTCCCTTCATAGTTTTTCTCTATGCTGATGCATGAACAAACATTTCCTTGTACAAAAGTAACGCAGGAAGCTGCTTTTATAACAGCTGTATAGAGTTTCAGTATGTGCAACACGCGCGCGCAGAGAGAGAGAGTTGTAGGCTGCAGTTGTAGAAGTTGAGACTGCAGAAGTATCTGCGGCTGAGCCATCAAGTTGATACCATACTAGCTCTTAGCAATCACATAGATAGACTTTTCCCATGACAATCTGTCCCTAAATTGGTCTTCCAGTGGTATACCTATCGCTGCTGTAATTGTGTCTATCTACCTTGTTACAGGTCATCCTCTTCTATTTTCTTTCACCTTTCTCAGCATCAAAGTCTTCTCTAGAGAGCTAAACCTTTGCATAATATGTCCAGAGCAGGAAAATTTGAACTTGGCCATTTGTACCTCAAGTGAGAACTGGGGGTTTTGTTTGATTTTTTAAAATTTTGTTTGTCTTCTCCAAAACCAAATTCATTATTTTTCTTATTCTGCTTCTTCAAAATCCAACTTTCACTTCCAAAGGAAAGAATAGTAGTCTCTTATCTTAATATTGAAGCTAATTGGACAAGTAGTACAATCTAATTTTAATAGTAGCAGTGAAACAATTGTTCTTGCTTGAAGATATTAAAATATATTATGTGGTGGATATGCGATCAAACATAGCGTGTCACGGTTATGCCTTCAGCTTTGGTTTGCTTCCCCTTCAGTATTGCTGTCTTTTGTTTTGTCTAAAAATGAAAAGGATCCTGACTAAAATGCATGCATCAGTAGCTGTATCTCTTTGAAGACGGCAGACACATAGTTTAATATGTAGTTTGAAAGAGTATAAATAAGGGAAATGGGTTCTTCATATCTTTGAATGTTTGTACAGTTTGCAATCTAAGTTAGCTTTCCTTATTTGCTGAATCAAATAGATTATTTTTATTAGAAATTTAATTGTAGAAGTAGAGATTAACGGTATTTAAATTCCATTCTAATTTTATTAATGTGTATTATCTACCCAACTCCAATGGAGTCTAATTGTTTATAGGTAATATTTCATTGAGAACATAATTTATTATTTAAATTCCACCCAACTTCCAATGACTCTGAGAACCTTAAAATCGTTAAAATATTTTAAAACCAGCAACAATAGAAAAAACACACACACACACAACCAAACAGAAGAACAATGATGGCAAAGAAAATAAATAGCTCTGTGGAAAAATTCTACAGCTGATCTTACTAAAAACTGAGGATGTTGAAACATAATTTCCTCTTATGATTAAGCTTGTAAAACAACTTTTTAGCTCACTGCAGGATGTTCCTCTTGGAAACAAAATGTTCTTCCTTCCCCATCTTCCTTTTCCACTGCCTGAGAAATGAGACTGTCAGCAAGAAAAGGAAAAGAATTCTTTGGACTTTAAACTCTTGGCACAGTTCAGTTTTCAACAGACTTCAGGATAATAGATAGATAGATAGATAGATAGATAGATAGATAGATAGATAGATAGATAGATAGATAGACAGACAGACAGACAGACAGACAGACAGACAGACAGACAGACAGACAGACTGACTGACTGACTGACTGACTGACTGACTGACTGACTGACTGACTGACTGACTGACTTTTAGGGAAGGTTGTATTGAAAGCAGCAAGTGTTCTGTATTAGAAGGTCCTACATGAAACACATTATCTGGATCCATGCTTGTCAGATATCAGATCCTATCATATGACAGGTCAATGGCCTTTAGTATCTTGAGGAAATGTATCTTTTTGTTCTTAATAGCATTTTGAATGCCTGGCACCATTAACCATGGTACCCCACTGGATTGTTTGGGGCACTGTGTTACAATCACTGAACTCCTACCTAAGTAGGGGGTTCCACTAAATTATCATAGGAGAACACTGCTTGAATCCATGGCTACTCCCATGTGGGGTGTAGCTTTTTTTCCCCTATGGTATTTAACATATATGAAGCTAGTGGGGAAGGTTTGTTTCAGGGTACTGTGCTGACAATTTCTACATTGCCACACCAGCCTATGCTCGATCAGGTTTTGACAGCTGAACTGGAGGCTGTCAAGATCTAGATAATACAAAACAAGATTAAATTAAATCCTCCTGTCCAGGTTGCTTGCCATCAATAAGGTTGGGTATTCTACTAATGTTGGCTACAGTAAGACTCTTTCTGCGTTGACTGTCCCTTCAAAGGAATAGTTCTCTGGTTTAGGAGAGTTTATAATCCTCCTTAGCTCCTCCTCCAGCTGTTGCCACTTTTGTTTTAGCTGATGTGCTAATTTTAGACCTGGGATACCTTGTACACAATGATGTGTTCCCTAATCACTATGTAATTATTGGACAACTGCAACATGTTCTACAGGTAGTCCTTGATTTATGACCGGCCACTTAGTGCTGTTAAGCATTACAATGGACACCCCCACCCCAAAGCTACTTAGTACTCAGTTTTGAAGTTACAAATGCTGTAGCATCCCTGCGGTCACATGAACAAAATTTGGGCAGATTCACCCTTACAACTGGCCTCAGAGACTGTCTGTCTCTCCCCATCCCTCCCTGCAGGGTCCCTGCAGGCTTTTTGCCTGTTCCCCCCCCCGCCCCTGCCCCCCGCTTCTCAAATTCCTTATAGTGAGGTTTTCTGCTTCCATATACTGTATTTTCACTCCATAAGACGCACCTGACCATAAGATGAACTCCTGTTTTCGGCCTCTGCGTGCCCCATTTTTGGCCTCTATGCATTCCATTTTTCGCCTTTACATGCCCTGTTTTTAGCCTCCACACTCCCTGTTTTCGGCCTCCACGGGACGCGCAGTGGCCAAAGATGGGACACGCGGAAGCCAAAAACGGTAGAAGGGTGTGGGCTGGCAGGTGGGCGGGGCTTCATCAATATTCGCTCCATAAGACGCACAGACATTTCCACCCACTTTTGGGAGACAAAAAAGTGTGTATTATGGAGCGAAAATATATGTAGGTCTTTAAGTGTGTGTAGAAGCAAAAAGGGCTTATGGTCACAGCACCTAAGGAGTCCTAAATCCAATGGTGAGGGCCATTTATATTGTAGTGTTGTATCTTCACATCACAGAAATAATAAGAGCACTAAGACCTGAAGCTAGCAGTTACTTTGCATATAAAATGTATTTTCATGAGTAATATTCTGTCAGTGAGAAGTAACACCTGATGCACTGATATAAAACGGAAAGTTTTAATCTAATTTAATGTATTAATTTCTCGCCTGGGGAAAAGTTCTTAGGTCATCTAGCAGTTCTATAAGGCATTATTTAAACATAAAGGAAGCCTTTTTTGATGCTTACTAATTCAAAATTATCATAAATATTTACCCATGTTAGCAGCTATGCAGAAGAGTTAAATAATCTTATATATAATTTATGATGTGGAAATGGACAGAATTTGTGAATGAACATCTGGCATTCTATAATGTTTGCTATAAAATTGGGATTTCACTATTACTCTTATCAAATATGAGATTGCTTGGTTGATAGGCTTCCCTATGTTCAGATAATGACTAATACAATCATGTAAGTGGCAAACTGCATGTACAGACCTGTCTGTAGTTCCTGCGCAGATTTCCTAACTAAAGTACATATTGTACACACACATTATCTTAAAATTAGATTTCAAGGTGGAGGAGAATAGCAGCTTACTCTGTAGACAATGTGCTTAATCTCCTGTGCCCAATACTTCCTTTCCCTTTCTCTCTCTCCTTACAAAGCTGAACTGTGCAGGCCCAGTACTTCCATTCTTAGACTAGATTTATGGAAGTTTCATAAAAGTCCTTTGTTCTGATAATGTATAATAATTGTCAACTATCTAAGAAAATACACAGCATGTGATGTCATTTTCCATAACAGCAATTTGATTATCAGACAGATATTTTCATAGCATGAATATAATAATTAGAAAGTGATTACTATCCGGGAATCATTGATAACTTTGAAGCAGGGGCTGATAAGAGCATTTGGGAATCCAAGGTAGCCTTTATAGGTTTGTCAGCCCTTCAAGGCAAACCACGTCTATCAAAAGAAATTCTAAAATACTAGAACCCTATAGAGACAGACAGACACAGACAGACAAAATAATCTTAGAAGTGGGATAGTGTTTTTCCTTCTATCCTCCTTTTATAAAAGATAATAAAAGGTGGGAAAATTTTGAGGTTTTTTTTTTTTTTTTTTTTTTTTACAAAATCCTGTTTTCCCAGGCTAAACTTGCATTTTATCAATGGTTGACATATATTTTTTCCCATATTTCTCTACAGGTTAGAATCTCCAAAATATCTTTTTTTTTTAAAGTTCAAGTTACCTGATACAATTTAGAAAGTTGAGATGGCTTTTTCCTATTATGATCTGACGTGTGTGGATCTATGTGTTTTATTAGTGTAAAATATATATGTGGTTTCTCAGGCATTCTGTCCAATGGCAAGCAGCATTAAAATCTTATTTTGATAGTGTTGCTTTTATCCACATTCCCCAGTTGGAGGGTTTCATAGAACGTCTTTGAAGTAGATGTTTGGAGTCTCTCAGAATTCAGTTCTTATATATACTTCACTAGACGGGGGTGAAAAAACATGCTTGTAATTGTTTGCTTCCTCACAGAGAGACTTTTAGCAGTACTCATAGTTGTTCCCTCATATTTGAATTGGAGAAATACTCTAAAGATGTTCTGTTTTGGAGACGGATGAATTATTTCTGTAGCACTTCCATATTTTTGGTAATTTAGAAAAAAAGGGTTCACAGATCTTTACCCATGGAGTTTATATAATTTAAAGTTAGATTTAAGGAAATAATTTCGAGAAACGATGAGGGAAGTAAAAGCAGGGGTAAATAAGATCTTTTATTCCAGGTTCCAATAAAATCACTTCAAGAATAATTTCTAGAGTCTAACTTTATGTTGCACTCTCAGAATTTTCAGTTTGTTCCTGAAAGAATAATTGGTTGTGGAGAAGTATTACAACACCCTACTGTTAACCATAATCTTTTTTTTTGCCAAGAATAGTTCACAAAGATGCATAGGAACTCATACAAAGAATTAATCTATAGGCTGCCGGTCTACAAATTACCTGGAATCTAGAAGCATGCACACAAAAAAATATTCTTAATTTGAAACAAAATATCCCTGTTCAAAACAAACACATTATATCTGGCCATTTTTGTGCATAGCTGAAGAACCAAACAAAGCAACACAATTTTTGCATTTGGCGATTTGAAAACTCAGGAATCAGTCAATGCACATTCACTTAATAAGCACTGCAATGCTCATTCACTGGTTAGTCAGGGAGCAAATGTTTAATGTTCCCTACTGTGCTGTGAAAATGGCAAGGCAAGACAAAAGTGTAAAATATTGAAATATTTTCAGGTTGAAAATATTTTTTCTTCTTTGTAGGCTTAAAAAAGTAATAGAATGTGGTTCTAAATAATAAAAAGTGTCTCTGTGCATATAAACAAAAATTCATTCACATTGAAATTAATACAAACAACCTGTTGCAACATAATTTCCTGAGTTATACAAAAGACATGTTTGCATTTATGTGCGTGCCTGAACCTCCAAAGTGCAATGTGCATCCCCGTGTATGTGCACTGCCCCCACACATGCATGCACAGCCCCCCACACGTGCACCCCTGCGCATGCGCGGCAGAGACCCAAAGACTAGCTGGCTGGTGGGAGGCACCCATGAATGCGTGGCGAAGCTGAACTGGGGTGACTAAAACTGTTGTTTTAGTAGGCTATTCTTTTATTTTGTAATATTTCAGTATGTTGTTTCTCTCCATTTTATTCAGATATTATTTATTTTTATGCATTCTGTGGTTCTTTTAAAATTGTTGCCCTTGATAGAGTATAAAATGAATACACTGAATATTAACTAAAATGTTGATATAATATAACACTTCATCCAATTATTATTTTCTTAAATTGAATGGCATTATCAACATCACAAATGCAGTCCAATCTGCAGGTTTTCTGTTTTGTGCAGTTAAACAATTAGAATATAAACTATCATTACATTTTGTTTAGATAAAGATGCCTTCTGAATGCAACTATGCTTTGCTTCATACTGGACAAAGAATGCCTTTTGTTGGATTAGGTACTTGGAAGAGTGATGCTGGACAAGTAAGTAGTTCACTATTAAGTTGAGGGAAGTTAGTTAAAGTATTTAAGAGCTTAAATTCTGTGTGCTGATAGAAAGGTATGTTTTCATTATCTGTTAATTAAAAGGTTGGGTGAAAGAATTAGGTTTCTTCCATGATCACATTATATTCTGCATTTCCATCCTTCCTAGCCCATTTTGCTGTCAGCATAAATCATAAATTCTGTTATATTTACTCTAAAATTAAGGCTTGACTAGTGGTTATCAAAAGAAAAAAAATCCCAGTAATGTCCCTATTGATCAAAACATAGAGTCACAATATTTTTCAAAGAGAGAAACTTTATAAATTCCTACAAAATAACTCAATTTTCATAAAAGAGAATGGACTCTCCTGATGAAATTATGAAGAAGATATCCTGGGTTAGTGTCCTACTTAGTGTTAGACTTCTGAAAAGCTGGGCAAATATTTTAAATCACTAAAGCAGGAGTGTCAAACTGGCATGGGCCGGATGCGTCACGCTCAGGCAACACCCACCCCAGTTCCATGAATGGGAAAAATGTCGTGAAACATCATATGACGGCAACATGACAGTGAGTTTGACATCCATGCACTAGAGGTTATAATGACATTCAGTTTCAAACTACAAGGTATGTATATAGTATTGCCAATTTACTTTAGTGGCTATGTTCCCATACTTCCAAATCAGGGGTAAAAATAGGAGCCTTGGAGGTTTCAGGTGACCCACTAGCATCTATTTTGTAATCCTCAGATTCCTTTCAAGTAGGAAATCCTTTCAATTTGGCTGTAATTTCTGCAGCCAAAAGTTGCATCTTCAAAAGTGGTTGGGGCTAGAACCTTAGAAATTAATAACATGTAAGAGAAAAAATTAAATAAAAATAAAAGAACAGAGAGAAAAACACTTATGTACAGTAGAGCCTTTGGTCATGTCCATAATGCATTTCATAACTTTGGTCACAAACCGATTTGGTTATGACCAAATTTTGGAAATTTGGCGCTTACAAAAAAAATGGTGCGAAAGGGGAAATGGGCCGCAAAAAAAAAAGATTGTGAATTTTTTGGTCGGAACCCGATTTGGTCCTGGTCAGAAGCGTTCATGACTAGAGGTCACGACTAAATGTGAAATATGACCAATCCAAACTAATTTAGCATACTTTGTAGCTAGAAGAAATTTGAAGGCAGAGTCAATATTGTATAGTTGTTTGAGAACGCATCAACACTGCATTTATGAACTAGTCTGAACACCAGGTTAAATAATGACAGACAGACATGTTTCCACACATAAAACCTTATGTCTGTTTTTCTTATGAATTCTAGTTAGTTAAGTAAGTCTCTGTTTGAACAAGAATAGGGATTTCCTATTTTTCTCTCTTTAAGATATAAGTAGGGCGAAAGTAAGAGTAAGAGTTTTCTGTCTTAATAAATCTTTTTTTATTAATGTTATTTAAATACTCAATATTATTTCAGAACTCTGCCTATGTTCAGAAGCATATCTGCTAAATTCAGCTTTCTAGCAATAGTGCAGTGAATAGAAATCAAGGCAAGATATTACTGTGTGAAGCAGAGAGCACTGAAATATAATAAGAAACCAAAGTAGGGTTAAATTTGCAGAATCAAGGTTACAGAATCAAGCTATTATTCAATCTATCTGCAGCAAGTAACAACTCACTTTGGCTGGTCTTGAAAAAGCTAAGGAGTGGGACGTGGTAATATTTGAATGGGAGAGCATGTAGAAATTCCAGCCGTGGGAAGTTTAAAAATCACTTTCCCAGTGTCACCAAGAAAACCTGTATTCATGAAGTCACCAGGAGCCAAACTGAATTCAACAGGGATCTTTTCTTTTTACATGATTGAACAAGAGACTTCCTAAAGCCATTTTACGATTCTTACAATTTGTAGCTATTTATTAAGGCAAGAAAGCTGGTGAAATAATCAGATGCATGGCAGTATTGTAGATGAGGAAAACCTGTTAAAATAAATGCCATCGTTTTTTGTCAAAAGACAGAAATAATACGCATTTCTAAGTTAGGCTGCTTTCTGTGACAATTCTGACTATTGTGCTTACATAGTAATCTCCAAGGAATGCACCAGTTTTCCTAAGAATACAGTGAGAGTTACAGTTTTTTCTTCCCTTCTGTCATTCTTTTGTCTTTCTTCTGGGTATATGTACATGCCCCACCTCATACAACATACCTTAAACAACTCTTTTATTTGTCTTATTGTTTGTCTTAGAGTAGCCTTTTTGGTCAAATGGAATTGGAATATGCTTCCTTGTATTCTAATCCACTGTTCTTTTCATTTTTCTGTTCTAGGTAAAAGAGGCTGTAAAGTATGCCCTTAGTGTGGGCTATCGCCACATTGACTGTGCTACAGCTTATAGCAACGAAGCAGAAATAGGTGAAGCTCTCCAGGAGACTGTTGGAGCTGACAAGGTAAAATAAAGAATCTCTCTGGGTTCCTGTTAAAAAGGAAAGGTAGAAAGGCCAGCCATGCAAAGTATTGTATGGTATTGTAAATTCCTCCTGGTTCTGTTTATTTAAGGTTCTGCCCTCCTGAGGTTTTCGCAAGAAACACTTTATAAGAGAAGTTACAGTTAGTTGTTTATGGAAATGAAGTTTTATTAGATAGTGAGCAGAAAGTGAAAGCCAGAATTGTATTCATAATACAGATGGCACAAAAAGATCTATTAATCAGTGAGCAATCTTAGAATTCAGAACGAATCAGAAATATATCATAAACTGAAGAAGTATGTCCTGTTTTCTGCTTTGGACATCTATCTTATATACCATAATCTGCATACAGGTATCCCTCAACCTGTATCAATCCCTCTGATTGTAGGAAGCCAGCAGGAAGTTGCCTCACCTAATGCCTGTGGAATTTAGTTAACAACGGCAACTGGGACTACAGGTAGTCCTCAACTTACGACCACAATTGAGCCCAAAATTTATGTTGCTGAGTAAGAAATTGGTTAAGTGAGTTTTGACCCATTTTACGACTCTTCTTGCCATAGTTAAGTGAATCACTGCAGTTGTTAAATTGGTAACACGGTTGTTGAATCTGGTTTTCCCCCATTGACTTTGCTTGTCAGAAGGTTGCAAAAGGGGATCATATCAGTGACCCCGGGACACTCTAACCGTCATAAATGTGAGTTGTCAAGCATGCAAATATAAATCACGTGACCATGGGGTTGCTGCAATGGTCAAGTGTGAAAAATGGTCATAAGTCACTTTTTCAGTGCTGTTGTAACTTTAAACAGCCATTAAGTGAGCTGTTGTAAGTCGAGGGCTACCTGTACAGGTATTGCTGTTGCTAAGTAATGCAAACGGATTGTTTAGCAGTTAAAACAGCAGATCCTGGTGGCTCAGCAGACTGATAGCATTGTGATTAACACCAGCTGTCTGCAATTACAGTAAGCTCGAATCTCACCAGGCTCAAGGTTGATTCAGCCTTCCATCCTTTCTAAGGTAGGTAATTGAGGACCCAGTTTGTGGGAGCAATAAGCTGACTTTGTATAAATATACAAAAAGTATGAAGGCTATTGCTTAACGCATTGTAAGCCGCCCTGAGTCTCTGGAGAAGGGCAGCATATAAATCAAATTAAAAAAAAAAAATTCTGGTCCCAATTGCAGTCATAAGTCGAAGACTCTGTATTATTTTTTATGGTACCAACAAACCACAAGATACCAACAATTTTCCACAAAGAATTATATTTTGATATCTCTATAGATGAAATGCATGTAAGCGTACAAATGAGACGGTGGCAAAATGTATCTATATATTTGTTATATTTGTATGCTGCATGTTTCTGACAAAATTAATGCCCAATGGTCCTGGAGTGCCCACAATTTCCCTAAACATGTCAATTTGCATCAAACTATCTTTTTAATTAAATAGCCAAACGCTTGCAAAATAAGACAACTATTTTTCTTATTACCTTTCATTTTAAATGTTTTTTTAAAAAAAATATTTAATCTCTAGTGCATATAAAAGCTTGTAAAATGTTATGTTGTGCCACCTGTCATAAAAAACGCTTGATCAGAAGTAAAGCTTGTCTCATGCCCCAATGACTAGTTCTTAATAATGGAAATACAAAAATCATTGCACAATGGGAACAGTTTCAGTAAGCATGATCCACAGTGAGGAAGCAAATATTTAAAATTAGGATGGAGAGATAAAGAGTTTTAGCAGATGGTAGCTTTTCTGAGCTTGTAAATTAAGCAGTGTTGAACCTGGTTCCTGCTTGAATGGGAGATGTGTGGAGAAAAGTTGGGTTGTAGGTTGGGCCAGAAAAAACATCTTAGAAGGCAGGGGCAAAGCATTTTAGTATTGGCAGCATGAAAAAATGGACATACTCTTCAAATCATCAGAAGATGAACTCAACTTGGAGGAAGGAACACTAAAGTAGATTATGACTAGATAAATAAGGAATGGGCTTAAAATGAAAAGATGAACTCTTAATATGTAAAAAAGAAGAGTTATTGTCAGGATCACATCTAATTGTCAATTTGATCATGTTTCTGCTACAAAAAACTCTGGAAATGAATGTATGAATTAGAAGGAAGGAAAAATATGCAAAACAATTTAGACAGAATGAAAGTTTGCTTGTTATGTTTGGCATAAAGTGAACATTATTATGTTAAATGCAGCATGGTGGTATCTTAAAACTTGAAACACAGCACCTTTTCATAGAAATGATTTTGTTTGGAGGTCTTAAGAGATCTAAACAATCGCATAAGAATTTTAGAACTTATTTGTACTTCGGAGTGAAGCGTCTCCCATTCTACACAGATTCGTCCATTCATTTCCTTCTCCTCAGCCGGAAATAGAACCTGAAATATTAATACAGAGATATTGAATTGAGCAAAATGTAGGTTAGTGCTCTTCTTTGGTGCTCTTCTTTGGTGACATGTCTTCACTTGTATTAAGAAATACTTGAAACAATAATGATTCACTGTTATTCTTTTTAAAGGCTGTTAAAAGGGAAGAATTGTTTGTAACATCAAAGCTATGGAACACCAAACACCACCCAGAAGATGTGGAGCCAGCTTTAAGGAAGACTCTGCAAGATCTAAAGCTGGATTACCTGGACCTCTACCTTATGCACTGGCCACATGCCTTCGAGTGCGTTTTAATTAAGAGAGTAAACCTCAATTTGTTATTTATTTAAACCTGGGGCACAGGACCGGGGAACAGAGACGGATAGAGGCTGAAATTTACTCCTTTTTAAAAAATGGGTGGGGGAGGGAATGAACATTGTGGAAGTTACATATGATTCAAATCCTATCGCAATGGTGATGCTCTGTTACTTGTTCAGAATAGTGCTGAAAGCACTCTAAGAAAAATTATATATGACTCCTGGAAGTATTTTGTTTTGCGTGTACATTCTGGAGGGTTACCATTAATTTGTATAATTCATAATACTGTGAAAATTTGTAAAGTTCATAATGCTATAAAAATGTAACTAATAAATAGTAAAGTAATTATTTTAAAGTGTATTCGTTCTTAATGGTATTTCCAATGGATTTGCTATCTATTTTTTATAATAGGCGAGGAAATAATCTCTTCCCCAAGAATCCTGATGGTACAATGCGTTATGATTATATTGACTACAAAGATACATGGAAGGCTATGGAAAAATTGGTGGAAAAAGGCTTGGTGAAAGCTATTGGACTTTCAAATTTCAATAGTCGACAGATTGATGATGTTCTCAGCATAGCTTCTGTCAAGCCAGCAGTTCTACAGGTAAGATAGAAGAAGGAAAAGAGGATGTGATTGATAATAAGATTATGATTAAAGGAAATACAGTGTAAATGAAACAAGTTGTGGGTTTTTTTGAGAGGCATGTCAACTTACCTGGGTCAAGAAATAGCTTCTTAAGGAGGGGGTGTACCACACCTTCCTCTTTCAAAGCTGCCAGCACCACCACCCCTTTCAAAGACTAATTCACCACTCCTGTATCCAATCTGTTATCCCCCTCTCTGGTCATATACTAGTCAGGAAGAGTATGGATCTAAATAGAGGTGGTGAAGTTCATCCAAGAGAGGACTTTGTTCCTGTCCTCAGCTGTCACAGGCTTGAAAAAATCCCAGATGAGTTTGCAAAATGTTACCTTTGTCATCTCACAAGACTTTATAAGCATTTCATCTGAACAGATAAGAATGATTTTGTCTGCAAAATATCTAGTAAAGTGGTCATAGTGGCCTACTGGAGAATCCAACAATGATTTAGATCACATAAAATAAGGTAGCTGGATGGCATTCTGCCAATAGACTAACTGGACAAATATTGAAGCTTTATCACCCTTTCTGCATCCTATGTTCAATCGCCTTCCCTTGGGACCGGAAATTGGCAAATGGGCTGTTTTCGGCTTCCAGAGGACTTCTGGGGGTATGTGGAGAGGGCCGTTTTTGCCCTCCCTAGACTCCTAGAGAGGCTCTGGAGGCTGGAAGACAGCAAAAAATGGGCCTTCCGGTCCCACCGGACGTTGGCAAATGGGCCATTTCTGGCCTCTGGAGGGCCTCGGGGGGGGAGAGGCCGTTTTCGCCCTCCCCAGACTCCTAGAAACGCTCTGGAGGCAGGTGAGAAAGAAAAACGAGCCTTCCCCACCACCCCTGAGGCTTTCCGGAGGCAGGAAACAATCTGTTTCCCTAATTCTGGTTGGCCCAGAAGGGCCGAAAATCAGTTGGCCACCGCGCGCATGCGCCCCGGAGCTGAGCTCGTGTGCCCACTGATATGGCTACATGTGCACAGGTGTCGTAGGTTTGCCAGCACGGTCCTATAACATACTTCCAATAGGTTGAAATTGTCAGAGAGAGTCTATCACCAGGTAGGCAATCTTAAGCAGTTCTGGAAGGCAGCGTGCTGGCCAGCAGGGATGTTACTACATTAACAGTTCCCTGCTTGTCCTTGATACCCAGTTTCATATACAGGACTTTAGATGTAATGATTAGTACAAGAGTGCATCTGTTTACATCACCGTCTCATTGAATGTTATTGCCTCTCCTCTTTCCCAGCCTTGGTATCAAAGCTGGTATAGCTCCTGAAACCTGACCAGGCAGATCTTAGACAGAAGCAATCCTTCACTCTCACCTAATCCAGTTTGAAAGGTACATGTCCATGCAGGTCTGCTGCCTCCTCCATCCCAAGGCAATGTAGGGACATGCTCTTACTCCAAATAAAACTGGCATTGAAAAGAATCAACTGGAGGGCAAGTTTTCCAGCAGTTCAGAATCCAGGCTCTTAGTTGGGGCTGGGGGACAGAAATGGGGATTGGTATCAAATATCCAATTTACTTTTCTTGTAACAGCCTGTCTTCACTATGCCCTATGCCCCCTTTGCCCATCAGTATTTCCCATTTTGTCCTCTCTTGTCTCTTCTCTCACTTCAGGGCATCCTCAGCCTTTCAATACAATTACCACCGTGTCTGTATTTCTGAACAATCATTCTGCCATTTAGAATATAGCTACCTTAACAAAATGGGCCATAGGTGCCGTCCAGCTATCCCTCCCCTTATCCCACTACTCCTTCTCCCACTCATCCCCATCCCCATTGAAATCAATGTAACCTTCCATTCCAATTCCACCCTTAGGGTTTTTTCCACTCTACTCTTCCTGGCTGTCGTCTAGGAAAAAGAGCGCTCCCTCATGCTGTAAGCTTCCTTTTCCTCCTTTGGAAGTTGGTCCTCCATTCCACCTGCTCTTGCCATGTTCCAGGTCCAGTCCAGATTTCCCATACGTACAATGAAGCTTTCTACTCTTTCAGCATACCGTTTCTCAGCTATTTGAGTCCCTCCAGCAATGGCAGTGAAGAAACCACTTCTTTTTCCATGCAGTGTTGTTGATGCAAAAAGTTGCTATTTACCATTGGCCTTTCTTTCTTCAAGTGAACCTTATCCATCTTTTCCACCAACATAAATCTGTCAATTAACATCACTCTGTCTCTGCCCACTCAGGCTTTTTTGCAACATTCCACAATCCATCAAATATTTCAGGCCACTATCTCCAATTCTCTAGCCCCAGTTCGCCTTTCTCCATTATTGTTAGCAATCCCTTCTCTTTACGTTTTGCGCTTCCTCACATTACCTTCAACTCACAGTAAAGCATAGAATCTGCTGCCATGTCCTATCTCAGTGCTTTCCTTCCTGCATATGGAGTTTCTATTCTCTTGTATTCTATCAAGAAGATTGGACCATTCCAGAGCCAGCTCTATATTACAGGAAATTAATAGGTTGGTCGGTCCTCAGCCTTAATTCCACTTCAGGAAAATGGACTAAGAAATTAGCTAAATTAGTGTCATTTACACAGTGCATCATTTTCTCTGTATCTCTTCCTGTTGTTGGCAGCAAGCAGACATACCTAATGTTACATGTTAATGTTCTTTCATGTATAACTACATTGTGTACCTGCTCTGTGAGGCACTTGGCCAAGGCCTCACTCCTGCCCGTAGCTTGCAGGATTAGTGACCAAGGCAGCTAGCACTCGCCCTACTTCTGCTGATCCCTATTTCTTATTCTGCTTTGCCAGTTTTCTATGTCCTGCTTTCCAGGGTTTTTTTCTTTCTCCCTCCTTCATCATATATCCTCTTCACTATAGTTTTAAGTTAAAACCAATCTGAAAGAGGGGAGAAAGCATTAAAAAGTGTTTTTAATGTTATTGTCTCGTTTCCAAGATATGGTGAAGGCCAACTTTCCTCTCTCCTACAAAGTAATTTGAATATGTACCTTTGTGTTAAAAGTGTAGAGGCAGAGACAGTATGTTCTACCTTATAGCATATGTAGAAGAAGGAATTCCATCACTCAAGTTAGCTCCTTTGTTTCCATATGAGCCGCTGGAGAGCCAAAGGTGTGTTTTTATTAACAATGGAATAACTTAGTTTTAAAGAAATAATTTAAAATCCAGTAAAACAGGAATGGGGGATTTGTGAACCTTCAGATCTTGCCGAATGCAGCTCCTTTGATCACTGGCCATTGGCCAAACTGACTGGATATTAGCAGGGTCAGAGATGTCCAACTCCAGCCATAATGAAAAAAGTTATAGGAAGAAGAAGAAGAATTTTTATGTTTTTTCCTGTGATCCCTTTTGTTTCACAGCATGTATTATTCTGATAACCTTATGGACCAGGGTATGGATGTAATTGTGGTACTGGAGGGGGGGAAATGTAATCAGCAAAGTGAAGATAATACATTTGGTGCAGTTATTTTGCTTCTAGTTAATGTAGCACAACTTACAAGCCACACACAATTTCTACCACAGCCATTTCTACACTTTGCCATTACATTTTCTAACATTAAAATTAGGAGAATTTTCTTTAAAAGAAGATATAGGTTGAAAATGCTTTAGTGATCTTGTTTCTGTTTATATAGTTCATCTGTCATAGAATATTCATCTAAGCTAGACAAAAATACAAGAGTATAGACCAGTGATGGCAAATCTTTTTCTCGTGGTGTGCTGGAAATGTGTATGTGTGTGCGCAACAGCTCGCGCATGTGCCAGCACCCATAATGCAATGCAAACTCTCCCACATGTGCATGCGCACACGACCCCCCTGGGCTCCCCCCATGCATGCGCTCCACATTGCGCATACACATCCCGCACATGTGCTTCCCCCCTGCCCTGTTTTGGGCCTGGAAAGTCATTATTCTGAAGTCTGGGGCTTCCCTGTCTCCCTACATGAGCAGGCTTCTGGCATAGCCCCAGGCCTCTGGGGGGAGGAAGGGAGGCAGGGAGGAAAGCCCCGGCCTACTGCTCCTGCCGCCGCCACCCTCTTGCCCCCAACAACAGCGGTTCTCGTGTTGCCACTTCTCCGGCAGCACTAGGAGCAGCTGGCAGGGCAGAGAGGGCGGGGGCAGGCTGTGACGGCAGGCCGTTCTCATCGGATAAGAGACAGGCAGACTAATTGGCTGGTGCGCATGCGTGCCCTGGAAACCCGGAAGAGGAATGAGTGATGTCATGCATGCCGGGCAACATAGCTCTGTGTGCCATAGGTTTGCCAACACGGGTATAGACTCTAGCTCAATACAATGTGCCAGAATGTTAGCTGTATATTTGCCACCAACTCTCAGATCATGATGGACTTAATTTCCCCTAAATTTTCAATGATTGGAACTTGTTTCTCTAAAATCTGCTCTTTCAGCAAAGTGATATTAGTTTTTTTGCCACCAGCCTGCTCACTATTGTTCATTACTTTTAATAGGTGGAATGTCATCCTTACCTAGCCCAGAAAGAACTAATAGCTCATTGCCATCAGCGAGGGCTGGTAGTAACTGCTTACAGTCCTCTTGGTTCACCTGACCGCATGTGGAAGCACCCAGATGAGCCAGTATTGCTGGAAGAACCTGGGATAAAGAAACTGGCAGAAAAATACAACAAATCTCCTGCTCAGATTGTTCTCAGGTATTAATAAATTAGCCTTTTGAGAGAGCAACATTAACGATCTGAAAGAGCAGAGAGTTAGACCATAAAACTCTTTATATTCCTTATTAATACATTTAGCTAAACACTGTACAGTACAAATTGGTGTTACAATGTTATGATGTGATGGCAAAAGGATTTCAACCATCCCAATTTTGTAAACACTTGAATTTTGATTGTGTAAGTGCTGAAATATTGCAGTGATTGTGGTGACTAAATGAAGTTAGTATCCTCTTGAAAGAACAGTGTAGAAATATATTACCAATATGAAAATATTACCAATATAATACCAAGTGAGGCCATTGATTTGCCTAGCCCTAGGCCATTCTGAAGAGTTGCAGAGGCATTCCAGTTTTCAAACAAAGAGATGTCAGGGATTGAATCTGAGAACTTTATAATGCAAAGTTTTTTAGAATCAAACATTTCCTAAATTAGAAATGAAGCTGGTTTAATGGTTAAGCTGCTAGCCTAGAAACCAGGAGACTCTGAGTTCTAGTCTCACCTTAGACATGAAAAGCCAGGTAGGTGACCTTGGACCACTCACTCTCTCTCAATCCAACTCACCTCACAGGGTTGTTGTTGTTGTGGGAAAAATAAGAGGAAGGAGCATTAGACATGACTGGGGTTAGGGCTGATAACTTTAAAGCTAAACAGTGGGAAAGGGTAGAGATGGGAGAAACACTTAGCTTGACTGGGCAGGATGTAGACACAGATACAGACAGAGATAAAGATTTAAGAGAAGAATATGGGAGACAAGTTAAAAAAAGAATAAGAATTAAAATATTGATGCGGGCAAGAGATGATGGATAGAAGGTGGATAGGAAAAAGAAGGGAAAGAGAAGAAAGAAAAAATTCCTCTTTTTTCTTTCCTTTTTTTATAATGGTGGCATAAGGATAAATTAGAATAGGCAAGTTTAAACAATATTGTGACTGGTAAACGTTGAGCAATTAAATAATGAAAACATATATATATATATATATATTTTAATTTGATTTATATGCCGCCCTTCTCCGAAGACTCAGGGCGGCTTACAGTGCGTTAAGCAATAGCCTTCATACTTTTGTATATTTATACAAAGTCAACTTATTGCCCCCACAAACTGGGTCCTCATTTCACCTACCTTAGAAAGGATGGAAGGCTGAGTCAACCTTGAGCCTTGGCGAGATTCGAACCCTGCAGTAATTGCAGGCAGCTGGTCTTAATAAGCTTAATAACAGGGTGCCTTAAACTCCTGTACTACCAAGGCTATTTTAATATAAACGTGTATTAATATTAGAATCATAAAGATTGGATGAAAGCAAGAATGTGAATAGAGTTATTTTATATGAGCATTAGACATGTTTGCCACCCTGAAGTTATTCATAAAAATAATAAAGGAGGGATATAAATAAATAAGAAAGAGGAAAAAGAATGTTAATTTTTGCAATGTAACTAAACATTATTATATTTTGTTAATAGTACAGTATTATTTTTATTATACAGTATTAATGTTTTTATTCTTCCATTGAAAACAACTCTGTAATTTAAAATGAAGATTTGCAGTAGAAGGTACTTTACAAATGTTTTAATCAAATTAGCAAAAGCAAGGTAGCAGCTTAGTTTTTTCAAAAGAACTTCAGATTCTAGGAATACACTTTGAAGTTCCATTCAAAGAACCCTGATTAGTATTCTATATTCTATGTTATAATGGCATTATTTTTAACTTTGAGCCCAAAGTTTTGTAGCCTTGTAGAGAAAATATTATTTTCCTTGTCAGAATAGAACACTTTGGATTTTGTTTATCCTGAATGAGAAAATCACAGCTTGTTGTTTAATTCTGTGACAGATGGCAAGTTCAGCGGAAAGTAGTTGTTATCCCCAAGAGTGTTACCCCTGCACGCATACTCCAAAATCTTCACGTAAGTAGGACATCTGACTGACTTGCGAGAAGAAGCCATTACTGTAGGCAGCAATACTGAAGCTTCAACTGTGTTTTTTCACATGCACATTCTGATTTGTTTGAAGCTCCAGCTGATCAACTAATTTACTATTGAATTTTGCTATCACAGATTCTAGGCTTGGTTATGTGACTGTATTTTTTTACCTGCTACACTATGCTGGTTTAATATATCTGGTGTTTCTAGTTTGTGCATTCAATATATTTAACAGATGTTCACTTGTAAGCTTCTACCTCCCAGACTTTAAAGAAAACCTTTTCCCTTTTGATCTTGATAGGTCCAGTAGAATCCAAAATTTCTGTGTGGTGTCATATTACTGTATTGCTTTAAACTGCACTTCAAACATTATTTTAATGTTGCAATTTCCTTTTGAAGTTGTTATAACCTCTTTTATATTTTTCAAAAGCTTTATAAAAAACTCAGATAAATACAAATCCCTTCTCTGTCAGCCCTCTTATTTAGAAATCATTAAACAATAGATGTATGGCTATCCAGAAAGTGTTACAATTAATGCTATCTTATTTGCATGCTCTTGAAGTGATCAGAATAATTTGCAAATTTTTGCTTGTTTTTTTATTATTTCTACATATTACTTGGAGGGGTATTACATCTGTAGATGATTGGAAAGTTACTCTTTTTGCAATGATGGGAAGCAGAATTAACATCAATGCTTTTCTTTCCAAAGAATTATTGCTGAGTTTGTTTCTTGTTTCTGAAAAATATCCTTTTTGCTTAACTCACCAAAGAAAACTGCTCCTGCATTTTCTAGTCAGTTAAATTTGGTAGGTTATGGGAAAAATGAGCTGAACAGTTAATCCAGGGGAATAAATCAGTAATAGTCACTTTGGCATCTTGTCAACCAAGGAAGGTGGCTATAGGTTAGGCAGCACAACCTAATTCAGGAAGCCCATTCTGTAGGACATGGCCTTATCTTATCATGATGAATCACCTATTACTTTGATTTTGCAAAAATTCATGATGATGAAATCCCAAGTGGAAGACAAACTTCTATGGTTATGAACTATATCCTTTCATTGTTGTGTTGTGACCCAGTTTGCCTGAACAACTATGGCATATTAGGCATGTTGAGAAAGTTTCAGACTCCATGGTACTTACTTGGATCTTTACAAAAGCTTCTATAGTAGTATGCCTGAATATATTGTGACTCATTCAGCTATAAGCATACAATGGAACACCTTCCATGTAACTCTTCAGCCTTGTTGCAATATTAATAAAGTTACTACAGCAGGAATCATGAATCTAATGTTAGTGAGCTCCAATTTCCAGTGAATTCAGCCACTATAGACAATAGTGTGAGATGCTGAGATTATAATACAGCAATATCTGAAAGGTCACAAATTTCTCAGCTCATTACAATAGTCACTATTGTCCACTATCACCAGTTTTCACCAAATTATATAATGTTCTGAAGTTACTTTTTGTGATGAAAGTTTTGCAAGGAATAAACAAACTATTAATATGAACTCCTACTGAAGAATTTGCTTCTCTGAGTTCAGAGATTGCTGCTTTTTTGGCACTTGTTTTCCGTTGTATATCTCACTGAAGATAAAATTGTAACTTTCCTGTAAACTACACTCCAAATGTACAGTATATAGCACCGCCTAGTAGAAATTCTTAGTGTGAGTTTTTTAAGGTTGTCTCCAGTATCAGTTTCCTTGCAAGATGTCCTGTATTAATAGTTTTGCCAAGTTTCTGAAGTTTGTGTCTATTTATTTACAGTGCTATAAACAGTTTTTCTTATATAATGGAAGTCGTCATAAAGGAGATAACTTCACAATTTAAGCATAATGAAACTTTACAGATGAGGATTTTTTTTTCACACTTAGATCTTTTACAAAGTGTAAGAAACACTGAAAAGGATCATTTCTATATACCAGGCATGCTTGCTGACAAAAAAAACCCTATGTTTTCTTTAGGTGGTTAGGATGTGCAATGCTTCAGATCTGCAGCCAAAAATATGCTTCAGAGTGGGCGGGGTGCATTCATACCACACCTATCTGCATCACCTTAAAGAAGCTGCATCTTTAAGGAGGTGCAGTGTGCACACCCATTCCCACTTCAAAGCATCTTTTGGCTTTAGCACTGAAGCATTGCACATCTCTTAATATATAGCTCTCATTACTTAGATATGTTCTGCACCTGTTTGCATTTACATGTGTTCTACAAGCAAATTTTTTAAGTGATTAAGACAACTAACTCATGAAATAGCAACAGTGAAAATCCTAGCCTGAATTAACAGTAAATGTATTTATATGTTTTAGGTGTTTGACTTCAGCCTGACCGTTGAAGAGATGAGTTCTATTGAGAGCCTGAATAAAAACTGGCGATATATTGTGCCAATGCTCACGGTAAAGGTTGTTTCTGTTCATACAAAATAAATAAATAAATAGATAACTAAATAAAATGAAACTGAAATTTGTAAAACACCCACCGAGTGTATTTAGTCTCCTATCCCTTCAACAATTTCGCTATCCTGTTCTGTCAACAAATACATGTTTAAATGTTATATTTGTTAATGTTTTAAATTAAAAGTTGCGATTAAGAAATGGATTAAAGTACAAATAAGTCCATAACATCCAGTAACAATGTTGACATGTTTAATTCTCCAAAGTAAAAATCTGTGTGCCCTCTAGTGGCTTGTAAGGTATAAAACCTTACACTATCTGAAAGTCAAATTTCAGATAGTGCTATATTCACTTTGAAATAGTAGAAACAATTGTGCTTCCTTTTAACTAACAGTTTTCTTTATCTTTTGCAGGTGGGGGACAAAATGATACCAAGGGATGCTGGACACCCCCTATATCCCTTCAATGAACCATATTAATTCATAAAACTACCAAGATGAAAAATGTATTTCCATTCAGGACTGTTGCTGCCATCATATACTAGATTTTAAAAAACACACCTAAATAAAGTATTATATCTGTGGGATTGCATTTAATCCTGAAGAGTTAACAATGGTTTTAGAAAAATAACTGTTTAACAATATAAATTGTACAACCTGAAAATTTTTATAAGATCTTAATTAACATGTTCCTGCATCTTTTTTTAAACATCTGTACCAAAATATTTGCTTGAAATCTAATAGGGTGCAAAGAGTAATAAATGCAAGAAGTATATGCTTTACACATACCTAAATTTAAATTCTGGATCTCCTGACATAATATCTAATAGTTACATAAAGATTGTGGCCACAGGTTTCATGACTTTATCCCAATATAAGCACAGACCAAAAGAGTACAGGATGCATGGCATTGCTGCTGCCTTTAGCGCTGAATTAAAATAATTTGCCAACTCAGTTTACATTTAGCTAAATTACTTCTATCACATAATAGGATCATTTTACAAATTAGAGAGCTGTAACTCTCTGGATATGTGGGCATGTTTGATTTTACATGTCACAAAATGGCTACATGGAGAACATGTCACAGAACATTAGAAAACGAAATTAAAGTTCTAATCCTGGATGCATACTACTATCTCAATTTATTTTTGTACTTTAGTGCACCTTTCACCCTGGAATTTATGATAACTGAAATTTAAAGAAGTTTCCATTGGCTTAAGACCTACTCTTTCACAAGAAGTGAAATCCCATCTAAAACAGTTTGATGTGATGGTTAAGGTCCTGGCCTAGAAACCAGGAGACTATATGTTTTAGTCCTACCTCAGCTGTAAAAGTTAGCTGGGTAACTTTGAGCCAGCCACTTTCTCTCAGCCCAACCACTTCACAGGTGGTTGTGGGAAAATAAGAGGAGGAAGGAGTATTATGTATGTTCATCACCTTGAGTTGCTTGTAATAAAGATGGGATAAAAATCAATAAGTAAACAAGTAAAACAGGCTGACCAGAACGACCAGGCCTCCTTTGAACTGGATGTTAACTTGCTTCCCAGCTCCCATCCATTATAGAATTTATGTAGTGTTCAAGAGTACTAATGGCTTTCTGGGAAGGGAACTATAGTGTTAGGTGTTGTCAGCACATTGACAGTGTCTCATTGTGGTTCTATATAGATTTGAGATCTAACTTCATAGGGAACAACAGAATGCAGCACAGAAAGCATAGAATAGTAATTTAGCAGTCAAGATATAGAATAGTAATTCCTCCATCACTATCTTCTGGTGCAATCTCTCAGGGAACATTGAAAACACTATAATAATGCCTTTAAGCCTGGCCCCTGCCATGACCAATGACATTAGTTATGAAAGATGAAAAGTACTAATTAGAATTTAGAAATACAAAAATTAGCTACAGTTTGTGCATTAATCTGCTTCAGTGTTTTTAATAATCCCCCCACTGTTGTAGCAAAAAAAAATTGATAATTTATAGTATAAAGCCCCAGCCAGGTTGTTTACATTTTCTCTATAAGCAATCATGTAATTAGGCTAAGTCTGCATTTTAAGATTTGATAGGCACATAGGCGGCTATATAAATCCAATGACTTTAGAAGCAGTGTAGTATTACAGATGTGGGATGTTCTTTTCTATATATACAGTTCTATTAACCAAAGTGGTGGCTCACTGATACATACATGGAGTTTCTTGCAAAATAGGTTTAACCATAGTTAATAGAATCATGGTCTATTTTGACCAAATGTTCTACATTTGATATTGATTAATTAAGCTAAAATGGGCTAAGCCAAATTAATCAAGACACTTTATTGACTTAACATGTACAAATCCATTTAGCAGTTTTAATGATCATACAATGTACTTATTTGTATCAATCTTTATTATTTATTAGAGGCATGATGCTGCAGTGGTTAAAATGCAGCATTTCTGGCTAACTCTGCTGACTGCCAGGGTTTGATCCTCACTGGCTCAAGGTTAACTCAGCCTTCCATCCTTCCGAGGACCCAGATTTTTTTTGGGGGGGGGAAATAAACCATGTAGAGAGGGCTGTAAAGTACTACAAACCAGTATATAAGTCTAAGTGCTACAGCTATTTTTACAAATAAATCATATATACAGTGTTTCTACTTATTTATGAAATTTGTTCATGGATTGGATTTTTTATATTAATTTTTTAAAATATTTTTATATACAGTACTGTATGGTTGGCCAATTTATGTTCTACCTAAAAGCTGAAAAGGTGGTTAATTTATGGCTCTACTATGCGGATGATAGCAATCAGATTAATTCAGTGAACAATGATTCTTTAAATGAATGATTGTGAAAACAACTTCCAATTACTGCTCCCCAAAATGCAATACTTCTCTTCAGAAAGATTTCATAGTGACTAAAAGGGTATGCGCTTAGTTGCATAAAAGATTAAAGATTTGTCCTCTCCAGGTCACTTTTGTGAGGAGGATCAAATAAGCCCCACTTCATATTAATGACCTTTTACTTATACCGACTGGGAGCATTTTTGCGTGCTGCCCTTTTTCGGGATTATTTTGGGATAGACTGATCCAAGTCAAAGCAATAACGTAAGGCGGGATAAAAGCCCGGGAAACAACACATTTTTAGACACATATATTCCACTAGAGATTATTTTTAATGCCTCCAAATCGGTTCTAATGCGTGCAACCCACAACTACTATGTTATGAGATTGTATTTTCCAGCACGCTGAGACGGCAAGCTTTATTTACTCCGATTTTTGGACTACCTTTCCCAAAATGCCAATCGCATTGCCGAGGCAACCACACAGTTCTATTCGAACGGTAGCTACTGACGTCACTTGTCGAGAGACTGCCATTCCTTTATGTTGAAGACGCCTCCTTCCGACTCATCGAAAGCCCCTGTGCGAGCGGCCGCAAAGCATTCTGGGAAACGTAGTTCCTTTTCCGTGAGAGCGTGCTTCGCGCCACTGGGGCGTGTCTTCAAGGGCTATATAAGCATCCGGAGGGGCGGTGGGCTGCGTTTGTCTGCTGGTTATTCCTTCGCTTTTGATTTTCTGTGGCGGGTCGTTGGTTACCATCGCCTTTTAAGGTACAAGGGGCTTCAGGCAGGATTTCTTTCTTCCGGAGCTGGATAAGCAGGAAGGGGGAGTTGAGCTGGTGGGTTCGTCTAATGAGGGGGCGACAGCGGCCGCGATACCAAGGAGGCTTTGAGCGTTTATTTTCCGGATTGTAATCTGCGATGTTCGGACACAGCTGTACGGTTTTTGATCTGGTTTTTTTTCCCCCCTATAATTTTTCTTCAGTTCTTTGAAACCTCACTGATTTCCCCCCCCTTTTTTTTGAGTGGGTTCGTACGTGCCGTCCTTGGCGTGATGGAGGCGGCGGGTCTTTAAAAAAAAAAAAAAAAAAAAACCGAGACACCACGTGACCTGGCTGGAGTTTATGCCGCCATTTTTAATAGCTATCAATCTTTGGCGCGCGCCAAAGCGCGGGGAAGGGGAGGGGAGGGGGTGGAAGGAAGTGAGTGAGTGAGTGAGTCACGTGGCCAGCAGACTTGGCCCATCGAAAGCGGCCGTTGAGATTTGGCGCCGAAAGCGCTGACAGGACAGGAGAGGCGAGGTGGCCCATTGTCCCTTCAGGTGAAGGCTTCCGTGGGAAGTGAGACGTTTCCTCTTGCAGAAAAAAATGGCTTTAAAACACGTTTGAGAAACCTGAGTTTATTGGTATTGGTGCCATTTGATGCCTCTTCATACATTTGGGCGTATTAAAGGGCCTGGGATGTATTTATTGGATAATTCTTGTCAGTTGGTGAAGCTTAAACCACCTGTAGTTTCTTTTAAGACAGGAAATGAAATATACTTGAGAGACTAAAGCTTCAAATGCAGTTGTGCAAAATGTTTTTTTAAAGTTTCTCCAATAATTATTCACATGCTTGTGTAGGTATTTCAGAGGGCCACATGATATTCCTTCTTGGTATAACTTGTCATTTAAAGCTACGGGAAGTAGCAAGTTGTAGTTGTCCATGCTGTATTTTTGTCACTGGAATATATATCAGATCACAAATGTTTCCTATATATTGAAATATATAAAACCCCATTTTAAAGCCTCTAAATAGAGTTTTCACTTTTAATCAGTACTGTTCATTTATTGCTCTCTGGGCAATGAAAAAGCTACTGATTTGCCACTGCATGAGAAGAAAAATACTCAACCTATCTGAAGTAGCAAGGTTTTTTTACAGCACACTTAATACTTTAGGTGTTAGCTCAAATGCCTTCTGGCTAAACTTTGAAAACTGTTCCTAGTTTGCCTAACTTAAATTTTCAGTTTCAGGATGACAGAAGAGGCTTCTGCTCCTTCTACTTCTGCTGACAAAACAGAAAGGTAAGAAAATAATTGGATAAAAAACAAACATGTCAAGAGCCAGAATAGTGAACTAATTGAGCTCTTCATTCACTTAAGCTGATAAAGGTGACATTGTATTTTGAGCATTTGTGGTGCTATTGATTTTGGAGTTGGTTCTATATGGTAAAAAAATTTGTGAAAACCTTTAACAAGGTAAAGGTTAGGGTTAGTATGAAAATATATAGTGTATTATTGGGCCAAGCATAGTAAAAATAAAAAGTGGTATAATATATAATATATATTATATAATAAATATATATATATATTATATATATATATTATATATAATATAAATATATATTATATAATAAAGTTTTTAACTATATTCTAGTTCGTATATTTTGTTTTTAAATTTTGTTGTATTGACCATTGTTATGTGAAAAACTGCAAAAAAACTATATTATGGAAAGACAATATATATTTTCATACTTGCAGTATTGATGTGGACGGGGAAGCCAAGAGACTACTCGGCTTGGGACAAAAGAATCTGGTAATGGGAGATATTCCATCTGCTGTTAATGCATTTCAGGAAGCTGCTAGCCTTTTGTAAGTATTTAGATTATATATAATGGGAGGGTAAAAGATGTTTATTCAGCTATAATTTCCTAAATATATTTTTAATATTTGAAGATTTTAGTCTTCTCTGTTTTAGCTTACTTTTGATATGTTCTACATAGTTTTAAGATTCATTAAGAAGCTAACATGGCAAATACACAGAATGGATTTTGTCTGTTGAGCTACAGTTTTATGGTTTTCACAATCCAAGCTGTAACAAAAGATTTATATAGTCAAGACTAATGCGTTACACAGCCAAGGAACAAATCTTTTATCTAGCACAAACCTAATTTACTCAGATCTCTGCTGTCTAATTTTTTTACCTACATGACACTATGATTTAATATTCAGTACAGATAGTACATATTCAGTACAGATGTAAGACCACAATTGAGTCCAAAATTTATGTTGCTAAGTGAGATATTTGTTGAGTGAGTTTGCCTATTTTACGACCTTCTCACAGTTGTTACATGAATCATGGCAGTTGTTAAGTTAGTAATATTGTTAAATGAATCTGGCTTCCCCGTTGGCTTGGCTTGTCAAAAGATGATCACATGACCCTGAGACACTGCAACAGTCATAAATAAAAAAATGTCATGTTTTTTTAGGTCCGTTGTAAGTGAACGGTCACTAAATGAACTATTGTAAATCAGTTACCTGTAGTTTGG